TTGTGCCAGACTTGTGGAAACAGGCAAATGTAGTACCTGAAGGTTCCAAGTGTTCCCTGAAGAATGCAGTGATGGGTAGGGAAACACCGGGTAACATTGAAGTCCATTTATTAAGGGATAGGAGAAATACAAGTGGTGACTTGCGTGTGCCATGCACGGCCCACAGAGTCAGACTGAGACTGCCTTGCCATATGGCAGCCTCGGGGCAATGTTGCCACATAACACGTGCAGTGTTGCCACGTAATTATATACATAGGTGCTACTCGGCACAGTAGCTTATATACAAGGTTGCTACTCGGCACAGTAGCTTAGATACATAACCTACAGTACCCATATTCAAAAAGGGAGACTGAGCATCAGCGTCAAATTACCGGCCGATCAGTTTGACGTCAGTAGTTGGGAAATTTCTTGAATCAATTATAGCAAATAGGATTCGATCGCATTTAGAGAAAAGCAAACTAATCTACGACTCTCAACATGGGTTTACAAAGGGAAAATCTTGTCTAACAAATCTGCTGACGTTTTTTAAGAAAGTCTTCGAGGTGGTAGATAATGACGAAAATTACGATGTTATTTACTTAGACTTTAGCAAAGCATTTGACAGAGTACTGCATCAGAGGCTTCTGAGAAACGTTAAGGCTCATGGTATCGAGGGGAAAGTCTTAAATTGGATAAAATCATGGCTCACCGATAGAACGCAGAGGGTCAGCGTAGATGGTGTTAAATCTGAGTGGGGATGTGTAACCAGTGGGGTTCCCCAGGGGTCAGTACTAGGCCCACTCTTGTTCATAATCTACATAAACGATCTAGATACTGGGATCAGCAGTGGCATAAGCAAGTTTGTGGATGACACCAAAATAGGGCGGCAGATTAATTCAGGGCAGGATGCAAATGCACTACAGGAGGATTTAAATAAACTGCTGGGGTGGTCAGAAAAATGGCAAATGAAATTCAACACCAGCAAGTGCAGTGTACTTAATATTGGAAGAACAAATACTATCAATGTATACAGCCTTAACAACATCAACCTAGAGAAGTCGACTTGTGAAAGAGACTTAGGGGTACTTGTATGCCCGGACCTACGGCCTAGAAAACAGTGCGTTAATGTTCGAAATAAGGCAAACAGAGTATTGGGTTTTATATTTAGAAGTGTAAGTAATAAGAGTGCAGAGGTCTTATTGCAACTATATGTCGATTATACGGTTCAGTTCCGGTGCCTTTATTATAGAATGGATATCAATTCACTGGAGTCGGTGCAGCGAAGAATATGATTCCGGGACTCAGAAACCATCCATATCAAGATAGGTTAAAGAAACTAAACATGCATTCCCTAGAAAGACGAAGAGTGCAGGGAGATATGATAGAAGTATTTAAGTGGGTGAAAGGAATCAATAAAGGGGATACAGATAAAGTTCTTATAATTTCCGAGCAGGATAGGACTCGGAGCAACGGATTCAAGTTGGATAAGTTTAGGTTTAGGAAGGAGATAGGAAGGAACTGGTTCACAAATAGGGTGGTGGACGAGTGGAACAAGCTTAGCAACTTTGTAGTAAGTGATGGAACGCTGGAAAGTTTTAAAAGGAGGCTAGATAGAGTCATGGACGATAGAGAGTGGTAGTAACTCTCGACAGGAGCTGCCATGCACAGGCCAACCGACCTATTGCAGACTCCTTATGTTCTTATGTAACCTAACCTAACCTAACCTACTGTATCTTTCAACTTGTATCTTCTATATCGAGTATAAACACACAGAAGGAGAAACACAGAGAAAAAGACATACAGTGGGGAAGAAAGAAAGAGATAAATAGAGAGTGAAAGACATACGCACACACAGGGAGAGAAAGCAAGAGTGTGAAAGAAGGATAGAGAAGGAGAGACAATTTCCTTTTTTTTTCATTCATACCAACAGAGTGGTTAAGGTAGCTAGTGTGTGTTTGTGTGTGTAAGGTAACAAGAGTCCACAATCAACTTCTAGTGGTGAAAAGATAACTTATCAAGGTCCCAGGATTAAATTAATAAGAGTTTTCGTCAATTACAGTACCTTCCTCACATCTGAGGGTTGGTAACCACATTCCTCCACTTATAACGTTCTGGGTTTTTTTTTACCAATGCTTCAAGACATTGCGTCTCTCTAGGGACCCAGTTTTTAATTTCATTCATCCATCTCGGTCTCTGCCTTCCCCTGACCATCCTACCTTCACCTTTGCCCATTAATATTTGTTATTATCGTCTCATCCCTAACAATATGACCGAAGTATCCTTTTTTGGTGTCTTGTAAATTTCAAATACAATACCGTTATTTCTCTGAAATTTTTGTTAACATTAGTACTTCTTCGTTTGCTTTACAGAAATTGTATTTTTGTATTTATTAAATTACGAACGTCCGAATCAAGGAGCATCCGAACAGCAGTGACCATCTTACCTTTGTGCTGTGCCCGGTAACCCCACCCACCTGTCTCTCTCCTTGACCTTTTCCTACACTACTCACTGCTTCCACCACCACCATCACCTCCGCCACCACCACCACAACCTCCGCGACCACTTCCACCACCACC